TTTATTGGACTTCAAGCCCACTATGAAAATTAGATTTTCATAATTAAAAAGGGGTTTAATTAAAATAGTGGGAGACATTTAATATTTAAAGACCTAATATTAAATGAATATGAATTCCATAGTCTAATTATTTTCTGCTTCGTATGTTGTTTTTGTAGATCAATCTACTTAAATGGCTAAAAATCCAATTGCTAGTATCCTTGAACATAACAAGCTAACTGGACCCAACTTTAATGATTGGTTAAGGAACCTTAAAATTGTTCTTCAATCGGAGAAGAGGGAATATGTATTGGACAAATCACCTCCTCCTCCACTCGAAGATCAGACTCGGAAGAGTATGGAGAGTACTTACGTCATACAGATGACAATCTCCAAGCTCGGTGCTACATGTTAGCATCAATGTCTAATGAGTTGCAGAGACAGAATGAAGTGTTGAATAATGCTTCTGAAATTCTCCTTCACCTACAAGAGTTGTATGGTGATAGGACGCGGCAGATTAGATATCAGACATCTAAAGAACTTTTCAGATGTCGTATGACCGAGGGCTCTTCAGTCCATGATCATGGGCTGAAGATGATAGCTCTTGTGGAAAAGCTCTCGTCCCTTGGAGTTATTATGGATAATGAACTCTATGTGGACCTCGTGCTGCAATCTCTGCCTCCTTCATTTGACAGCTTTTTCGTTAACTTTAACATGCATAATATGGAGACTTCTCTGCCAGAGTTAGTCAACATGTTAAAGACGGCTGAATCCACAATTAAAAAGGATAAGCCGGTGCTTCTCGTTGGATCCACTTCCAAAGCGAAGACTTTTCGGTCTAAGAAGAGGAAGGGGAAGGGAAAGGTTCCCAATAAACCCAACAAGAAGGAAAATAATGACAAAGGGAAGAACAAGGAAAAGGTTAATCCTCAGTTGAATCATGAATGTTATCATTGTGGTAAAACTGGGCACTGGAAGAGGAACTGCAAGGAGTATCTTGCAAGCCTGAAGAGTTCAGGTATTTATTTTGTTGAAGTTAACTTATCAGTTAATGATTCTTCTTGGGTATTAGATACCGGCTGTGGCTCACATATTTGCAATGATTTGCAGATGATGGCAAGAAGCAATAAGCTAGAAGGTGAAAAGAAACAATCCTAAGGATGGGCAATGGAGCAAGAGTTGCTGCCAAAGCTATTGGGACTGTTTATCTGGCTTTAAATAATGGTGTAAAAGTTTGTCTTTCAAATTGTTTGTATGTTCCTGATATTATAAGAAACATTATTTCTATTCCAATATTGGATAAGGAAGGTTTTAAGTTTGTCATTGAAAATGGAAGATGTTCTATTTTCAAAGATACAACTTTTATATATTCAGGAAACTTGACAAATGGTTTATATACCATTACACCAGAAAGTCTCATCCTAACCATTCAACAAAATAAAAGGAAATTAGATAATCATAGTTCATTCACAATTTGGCATGCTAGATTAGGTCATATATCTGAAAAGAGGATTCACAAATTAGGACAAAAACTCGACCTTAGGGGAGAGGAAAAGTTACCTACTTGTGAGTCATATCTTAAAGGAAAAATGACAAAATCACCATTTGTTGGACAAGTGGAGCGAGCTAAAAATCTGTTGGATTTGATTCATACAGATGTTTGTGGACCACTAAATGTTAGTGCTATGGGGAACTATCACTATTTCATAACATTTACTGATGATTATTCACGGTATGGTTATGTATACCTATTAAGGTACAAATCTGAAGTATTTGAAAAGTTCAAAGAATTCAGAAATGAAGTGGAGAAACAAATTGGTCGTAGTATTAAA